ATGTATCCTTAAGCAATTCACTTACCCCCTCTCTTCCCCCAAGACTCAGTTTCTTCATCCATAAAGGTGCATGGTATTAAATTAAAATAGCTTGCCAATCCTTTGAACTCTTTCTCTACCAGGTTGCATGAATGTAAATAAAATTAATAGAGGGCACAAATAGTAGAGTAAGCAGGAGCCCCTAGTCTGACCTGTTCTATGTGTATATTAACAATATGTTAGCCTTTAATATGCTACATGGGTATCTCTTCCTTGAGCAGTATTTTAGGAAGGCAGGAGAAACATAGGAAATGATAAGCATTCCCTACAGTAATTAAGCTATAAGAGCTGACATAGTATTGTATACTAGTGACAACCAACACTGCCCATCAGGGACAGTAAGTTGGTTAGGTAGCTATCTTTGCCAAAAGGACAATACCAAATACCATGTTAGGGCAATATTATCAGACCAGCTCCAAGGTCACAAAATATTGTGCAAGCTTTTGAGCCATCCTGAACAATCAGGGCTAGCCTTATAATTAGACAAAGTTCAACAAAATATGTCACCAGAGATCAATAATTCCTGCATGCGTTACTTGAAAGTACAGGAAAGGAGTAACGGATGGGTGGTGGGAAGTTGTGACTCTGTGTGGAATCATTCTGAGTTGTAAATCATGATATATTTTGCAAAATTAGTGTTCAGACATTTGACATTCTGTATTCTGGGACTACAAAGTACCTATCAAAGTTATTTTTTTCTATAGAAATGAGTCTGAGTATGTAAGTTCATTGGCCGAAGTCCTCTTACATTTTTATGGCAGCATAACATAATTGGCCAAAATTCTTGCAGCCAATTGCTAAGAAATCAACATTGGTATCTATTGTTATGCTCTGAGTCACATACCCTGGCACACAACAGCAAATACCTACATTGGCTTCTGAGTTTATGGCAATTTGCCACTGGGATTTGTACTAATGTCATTACAATTGGAGGAGTAACTTATAGGATTTTGGCCCTTGAGTCAATAGATCTATTAGCAATTGGATTTAGGCCACTGAAATCCTTAAGTATTCACTGTTCTATCCCATCTTGTCTTCTGCATCCTAAAGAAGCATTTGCTTAGATCTCATGAGTAGCCTTTGTAGCTGTAGTTTTGGATTTTGTATTCAGACTTTTGAAGTCAAATGTAATATACCTTCCAAGATTTTGTCATTGGCACTTCCAGAGTCAATTGTGGGTTTTAATAGCAGAAACAAGAAGGGCTTACCATTTCCAAAGTGGAAGGTTATAATTTTTCAGTTGCTGGTCAAATGCAAGGGTAGCTGGAAAGGGGTGTAGTCAAAACAATACAGGAATGTTTGGGAGTGATTAATGAACCGCAAGACACATTTGAGAAGCAAGGAGAAAATCTGAGCCAGAAAATACTGTAATAAAGGATTAAAGGAACTGGACAAAGCTGTTTGGGGGATAACTAACCCAAGCTGAGAACTCAAGTTAAACAGCCCAGAGTTGGTCCCATCACCACTCTGTCCCTGTGGTCTCACTTTTGATCCTAACAATCCTAATAGGAACATGACCAAAAAGCCTTAGGAGCATACACTCCAACTAACATGGTAATGATAATATAGACACAATTTGAAAACTCTTTATGCACAAATGCTCTTTAAAACTTGCTTCTAAAAAATAGATTTAGGACACGTATCTATGTAGGCAAATGAAAATAGAAAACATTTGGTGACTGTTATTCCAGGGTTGCTAATCTGGAATGCAAAAGAAAGGACATTTCCAAAAAGCAAGAAATAAATCTTGCAAAACAAAAAGTCATCGTGAACTCTCCTTCCTGCCTCCCGCACAATTACCAATCCCAAATCAGAAAACGTAAATCATTGGGGCAGCAGTCCACTGCTCTAACCACCAGGTTCCCTCCTATAGCTAGCGAGGACACTGCGTGTATAGAAGATTGCATCCTTGATTCAATATGTTCTCTGTAATATCTGACGAGGTATCCAGTGTGGTGTAGTGGATTAACAAACAAGACTAGGACTCTGGAGGCAAGGGTTCAAATCCCCACTTGGCCATGGAATCTCACCGAGGGAACGGAACTAATAAAACTTTGCCTTAAATATCTCACTTACCTTGAAAGACCTATTAGGTTCACTACAATTTGGTCCTGACTTCATGGCACATAACTACATTATATCTAACAAATCCCTGTTGCAAACACATAGTCAGTAATGCAGAGTAGCACTCCAGTGCACTTTTAACCAAGCTACTGCAGCATTGGCTATTCTGGCTATGAATGGAGGCTAACAGCATCTGGACACCAACACATTCCTATCCTATATGCATGCTCTGAATACAAAAGCTGTTCTATCATCCTGATTGTGACTGAGATGTGATAGTTTAAAATAATTAAGGGATAACTAATGTTACATGGGTCTGAGTGTGCTCTATGTCAGCAATGGCAAACCCATGGCACGCGTGCCATAGCTGGCACGCAGAGCCCTCTCTGCGGGCACGCGAGCCATAAATTGCTGGATAGCTACTACCCCCTCTGCAGCCAAACCTGAGGAGGCGGTTACTGGTGTCCCAACAGGTGGCGGGCCAGATCTGGAGCAGCTGGCGATGGATCCAGAGCGGGGTCTCCGTGCCTAGGATTCCCTCTTCCGGTGCCACCTCCGCTTCCACCACCATTACCACTTCTGCTTCTGCCGCTGCAGCCCACCGCCTGTTGTTATTGTTGTTTTCAGTTTGGGCACTCGGGACCGAAAAGGTTCGCCATCACTGCTCTATGTGATATCTGATATATGCTAATAAATGTATCAACAGGAGTTCTGGGTTCAGAGAAAACATTATAATAGCCTAGATTGTGAATGATACCAATTAATTCAGCATGTGAAGAACAGGTTTCTCAAAGTCAACTGAGAAACAAAATAGCAAATGGGATTTGGAGCAAATAAAAGCAGAAACAATAATTAAAAATATAGCTATAGTATATATATATGGCTAGTTCAGTGGAGTATCTGAAATGACTGTGAGTGTAGCTAGATGGCCAAGTTGGAGTGGGCTGGATTGGGCTAGATAGGGTTGCTTTAGGTAACATAAGAGATTCAGAGTGCCATTTGGTTTCAGTTCAGGAAACCATACTATATCTCATCCAATCTATTTGGCCAACTTTCCTTTAAAGTAGAGGGGGAGATCCCCCTCCTTATCATCTCCTGTCTGCACTTCTTTCTGGGAGGAGGTTTTCAATTAAAAAACATTCTTAAAGATATAGTGCATCACCGTTGCCCTATGAGGATTTTTTTTTAAAATCCCACCTTTTATTCCCTTCTCTCCCCCTCCATAGAGGACTGGAGGAAACTTTGATATTCCCAATATTGTTAAGTAGATTAAGCACTCTGCCACTTAACGATATTGGGAAATTGAAAGCTTAAGTTTTGGTTCAATCCCAGCAATCATAAGTGCTGGAAATGAACCTAAATGGAACTGTCCTAAAAACAATGTTCTAAAAAACAATGTCCTTAAAAAATGGTCCTTGACAGGGAGCCAGAAAGATCCAGATCGGAATGCATCAGGGACAGATTGGTTCACGATGGCATTTACATCATGGAGTCGATGAGAAAAGAAGAAAACCAGCCCATGCCCTGAGCAGACCAAACAGTTGGACAAATCCCGATCTAGTCACACCCTGTGACTAAGTCAACTAGGGAAAAAATCTTGGTGTTGTGTTGGACTTGCAGAGAACCATCAGTTCAATGTGAAGAAACAATAAATAGGGAACATTCAGAGCTGGGAATGATGAGAAAAAGGACTGAAGATAAAACTGCAACTATCATAGTTCCTTTGTTTAAATTTACAAAGCAGTTCTATTTTCAGTACTATATATAATTCTGCTTTTCCCTTGACAGGAAAGTCTATGATACTACAGTATTGGCAAAGCCATAGAGAAAAACAATAAGAAATAACAATGGAGTCATCATGGTACTTTCCTTTTGAAGGATAAAGACCAATTATTTACAATATTTTCTCCTGGCTTTCTCTTTGAAAGGACCTAAGTTGGCTTACAGCATTAAAAAGACAAAATCTAAAAACTAAAAACAGGAAGTATATAAATATTTTTAAAGAATTAAATAAGACTTACTTTAAAAATAGTAAATAAAATCAACAGTAAAAACACATTTAAAACAGCAGAGCACAATAATCCAAGATCTACCTGAAGAGAAAGGTCTTCACCTGCTTGTGGAAAGACAGCAAACATGGATCCAGTCTAGCTTCCATGGAGTTCCAGAGTCTGAGAGAAGTGGGAGAGAAGGCCCTTACCCGTGTCCCCATCAAGCATGCCTGTGAATGTGGTGGGACCTGAACATGCTCACAGAGGGAGGTGCGGTCTTTTAGATAGTTTGGAGTGAAGCTGTTGGTTAAACCCCAACGTCTCTTCTGAATGGGATTTTGGCAAATATCAAACATGCACCGAAACAAGGTCTTTCTGATTTGCAAATGGCCACATGCAATATATGCTTCTAGTATTTGTAGAAGAGCGAAAACCATATTACACTTAAACCTATACGTGGGTTGAAGATGATGAACCTGGCAGGAAAAAAATGAACTGGTATTCATATGACACTCATGGCTGTCTAGGAATTCAGTGTCAATGGGCTCAATTGGTCTTGGTGCTGAAAAGTCAGGGATAATCATGTCAGAAGAGAGGGCTGCAAGTTTATTTATTCTTCACTCATAATGCTAGAATTTGGGCTCATTTAGTTGAGAAATTTAGAATGAGGTGAGGAGGTGAGGGAGCAGAGCTCTGGGGCTGCAAAAGGAACGTTGTCATGTATCTATAAATCTATATCTACAGTTACAGTTGTAGTTGTAGTTTTATATAACTGGTCAAATTATCTGCCAGAGGATGTGGGTCTAGTTGATCAGTGGGCTAAATGTCTTTCTAAAGGGACAATTTAATCTAGGATTCATCTATTAATAACTGGTAGCCACAATAGCTAAATGGAACCTCCATGTTCAGAAGAAACATATCTGAATGTAACAGATGCAAATAACAGGTGTGGGATTTTACCTTTACCACCTGCTTAATAAGACATCCTTGAGATGTCTCGTTGACCACTATGGAGAAAAGAATATTGGATGTTACGATTCCTTCTTCTAATCCAGCAGCACTCTTCTCATGCTGTTCACAAAGCCAAGCCACAACTGAAACCTAGTCTGGGGATAATAAGGCTCGAAGGCTCTTGCTTTAACCACTGTTCACATTTGTTTCTGTTAAGTGTTTTGCTACAAAGCCCTTGTGGCTGTTGTTGTAGGGCGCAGGGCCGGAGCATGGAGGGAATGGGAGGGGAGAGGCAGCTGCTGCCGAGACCCAGTTTCAAGGGCGAGAGTTTTTGGGAGTTACACCCGGCTGCTGCTGCCGGGAGTGAGTAAGCCAAGGGAGCGGGTGTTTGAGCAGAAGGAGAAAAGGTAATTAAAGAGGGAGGCACTAGCCACAGCAAGTTCCCACAAATGAAGGCCCCGGGGCTGTAGACTCCAAACAACAAAGGACCAAGCAATTATTTGGCTCCAGTGGAAGGTGCTGGCCCCAGCCAGGAGCTGGTTTTAGCTGGCCACCCTGGGGCAACGCTGAGGTTTGCAGGGAGGGGGCTGGGGTGGCGGAGGCATGAAAGTGGGGAGAGGGCTGTGCATCAGCAGGGCCTTCACAAACATGTGCTTGCTCTGGATGCAGTTCAGCTAGAAGAAGGGGGTGCCCCGGAGCCTTCGCGATAGGAAGGAGGGGTTCACAGAGAAGGCCCTCAGGATTTTGTAAGGCCTCCAGTCAAAAAGATCTGGTGTTTGTAACTTTTTTGGTGCGTCCACTCGGGCACCTGAGGGGAGTAGGCAGCAAATTCAGCTCTTGCTTTAAGCAGATTTACTTTTTGCCGTATACTTTGTCCTGCATTTGAAATCCTCTCAATTGCCTTTTACAGAATCAGAGCTTTAAAACATCAAATTTTCCAGCTACCAGTCTAAAAAAGTAGGACTTCTCAGAGCATGTATATTGTAGGATCCAGAATACAGTACATCTTGAGGAGTCTTCATCCTTTGTTCATTCCCCACATCATTTTTCCCTATATCCACTGCCCCCAAAGTTGCAGGGAAGAAATTCCTAATTGAAGACTGGCGGGTCAAGGACAAAGGGAATTGTAGAGAGCTGTGGCAGGTTAGATCCAGAGGCTATATGTCCATAGGCTTTCACTGGGCTGCATGTGCACAGAGGGTTTGTTCTTGTATTAGATTTAGTTACTTCAAATAGCCAAGCTCAATGTTTTCTGCGCTTCTTGAAATGTGTTAGATTGCCACTCCTGTCATACAGGAAAACAGCCAATGTGACCATTGATGGATAGATAACTACTGTATAAGAATGGTGGCATAAGAAATCTGTAGGACAGGGGGATGGGAAAAGTCTATGTAGCTTACACATAACCTGAGCGGGGAACATATTCTTTTGATTTCAGGAACAAGTCCTTGTGATTCTGTGATTTGTAACGCAAAAACCCTAATTTTTCCAGGTCTTTTTATAGTATACAGAAGACGATAGATTCATGGAACATCAAGCAATGCAGAGGTGCAGCTGGCCATATATGGTAAATCTTATTCATTTTTATCTAAAATATTTCTGAACCAGTCTTCTCTTCAAAGAGCACTTGAAGTAGTTCTCATAAAAACCACAAACACAGCAATTACAAGAAAAGCTAAAACAAAACTGGTAAATTTCATAACAATTAAAAAATCCTCCAAACTGCCAGAGCTGTCTTGATCTGTAAAAGCTTGGTGGGTTAGTATCGTTTTTCCGAACTGTAACTAATGACAAGGGAACCAACTTAATGACCTTGGGCAGATAATTCCACAGCAGGGGGGCTGCTACACAGAAGGCCCTGGTTCAGCTCCTGAGCGCCCAGCTTCACTACTCCAGCAATTGTTAAGGACATATGATATGGCTTTAAATGATGAATGCAGATTCCAGGAAGAATCATTTGAGGGCAAGTGACCTCTCAGATATCCTGGCCCCAAGTGTTATAGGAAAGAACTAGAACCTTGGATGAGTAGCTGTTTCCATACTGGAGATAGGCTTATTGTCTAGAAAAGTTACTTTTCAAATCCCTGAGATAACTGTAACATGAAAGTGGAGATGTGTGCATATTACCGTTGGGAAAAGATGTAAGAGATGCTATCTTATTAGATGTTGTAAAATACTTCCACCAATCCCCCCTCCTGGTAAGCTATAGTGAGTAATTTGTCAGACACATATAACAGTCACAGCAGCTTGCTTTAAAGCTGGAGCAGGCAAATACAGCCATCCAGATGCTACCAGACTACAATCCCCAGCATTCCTCACCATTGGCTATGCTATCTAGGTCTGATGGGAGCTGCAGTCCAGTAACATCTGGAAGGATACCCTTTGCCCATCATCGTTCCAGTTACTTGCTATAAAATCAATTACCGAGCAGACATTGCAGCCAATGGTATATGCAGAGATGTGACAACTAATAGTGAAAAACTGAAAACATGTACATTAAATGCACATATGCTTTTTGGATGCCATTCCACACTTCCCAGATTGGAATAAAGGGAATAAAAATTCAGAACATTTGTGAATCTCATAGGAACAGTAGAGAATGACAGGACTAAATTTTTTTGGGGGGGAGAGGTTCCCAGTTCTTAAAATAGATGGCCATATGCAGTGTTACTTGGATGTCACTTAACAGGCTACTGACTGGAGTCGGCAGAACCAAAATGAGCTTAAGAAAATGATGGGTTTACTTGCAGCACAGTTTTTTGTGAGCATGGAAAAAAACAAGTAACTTCACACTTTTTGTATGTTGGTGTACTTTATGCCCCTCAGCATGTACCATGGAAGACTTGATGCTAGCTGCCCCCAAGGCTTTTGATGTTGCCCTTCAATGGGCAAAAATTATCTGATATACAGTACTTATTAATTGTACTGTGGTACCTTTGACATGAATAAAGAAAAGACCCAGCATGGCCAACAATAAGAGATTATGGGACCTTAAATGCCCTCAATCAGGAGGGCTAAAGACTTACCATCCCAGCATAAAGGCAAAATGACACCCACAACTCTAATGCCTTCTAAATTCGTTCTGATGTAGCAAATTGTTCCCTAACCACAGCTACTTCAACAATGTTTCCTTGAAAGTCACATCACAAGACTTACTACTGAGTATTCTTCCCTGTCATTATTTACGTCAGTGTTATAATTCGTTGACTATGGTTTTCTTCTAGATGCCACGTTCATCAGCTGTTGTAACCTGTGGTGGCCAAGACAGAGCTCTGAATATAATTTGTAATTGTTTAACAATCTCTCCATTACATTCTCCTCAAGCCCCCTTAGCCTTACAGTATCACTCTTCTTTGAAAAGCCATCTGACATAGCAATTGTTCATAGGGTCAAGTTAGACAACACAGATAGCAGCCATTAGAAGAGGGAATTTCTTAAGTCCTGAGATAGCATAAGCTTTTCTTCTAGCATGGCTTCTCTCTCGTACCTTGCAGATTAAGTTGCTTTGTTTTGTGATTGATCATTGAGAGATAGCTGGATTTCATCTGTAAGTCTGAGTGCTTAGGCACAAAGTATTGAAAGACTTACCGTATTTTTCGCACCATAAGACGCACTTTTCCCCCACAAAACGGGGGTGGAAAGTCTGTGCGTCTTATGGAGCGAAGAAAACAGATTATATTTTCCTGTTTTCTTCTCCTAAAAAATTGGTGCATCTTATGGAAAGGTGCGTCTTATGGAGCGAAAAATACGGCACATTGCTTGGACACTAGCATGCTGTTACCTTCTAAGGACTGCTGGATAGCTTAGTGGTTTAGGTATCTCACTGTGGAGCCAGAGGTTGGGAGTAAGATTCCTATTGTGGCTCCTCGACAGGAGCTAGAGTCAATTATCCCTTCCAGCTCTGCAGTTCCAAGACTATAAGATGTGCTAGTTTGATTCTTAGATATAGCTAAGCCATGCAGCTGGCCCATAATACTGTTACAAAGAAAAGCTTTCCTTCACAATCTTTCCTATGGTGGAGATTGAAACTTGATTTAATCATCATGGCTTCTCCAAAGAACCCCCAGAGATGTGGAGATCACTGAAGGTTTGAGACTTCTTAATTTAATTTTCTCAGAACTGAAGGCTGTGTTACCAATCAGTGTTATAAACCTTCAGATATCCTCTGCTGTAAACATGCCTGTCCAAATGCTTCATCTACCAACCCAACTCTCCATGGAATTAAATTGCCTTTGAGGTCTCCCAGCAAAACCTGTATTAATCCTTAACCCAGTACATTTCACACTAGTCACCATAGTTACCATACCCATCCCCCCCCTGCTCCTCTAAGCTTCCCTAAGATATCCTCCCCATCAGACCCCTCAGCAATGTGTAATCTTAGGCACCATTGCTTGTAACAGCAAACCGTATGAAGTGCTGCTGCTTTCCAGATTACATACTATTTCCCACTGTGAAAACCGGACAATAATTCTGCTTTTCCTCTTTCTCTTGGGTTGTCCTACTGTGTGTGTGTGTGTGTGTTAGCCCCACACACCTCTGCTCAAGCAGTCAATGATCTTCTCATCCACCCCTCCCTCCTAGCTAAGCGGAAGCAGAGACAGACAGATAAACACAGGTGCAAGACTGAGAGTGAGGACTGGTTTATTTATGGTATGGAATCCTACCATGGCGACTGAATTCCTACATTACAGTCCCTAATCTGTCCAGTCGGAAGCCAAGTCTCTGTTCATTTATCCCAACAACATGACAAAAAGGAAGAACGACATCCCCACCACTACAATTTTCTTCCATTCCGTCCACTCCACATTCTTATCCCACACATGTCTCTGTGCTTCAGTTCTTTCCTTGGGCTATCTATGCATAGACCACCAGGAAAACATTTGGAAATGTGTCAAATGTTCATGAAATAATTGACAATGGAGGCATTCACCACAAGATAGAAAGGAGGCTTTGGGGTGAGGAGAAATGACTTCATAAAATCAGACTCTGTCTAAATGGGGGTAGGGTGGGGTTACAAAGAATCTAAACAAATTCCTTGTCCAGAGGACATACAATCACATAATAAGAGCTGGGAGAAATCTTAAACTTCATCTAATCTAACTCCTTGTCGATGCAAGAAATCCATCATCCACTGCTTATGATTGGTTGCCATCCATCTGTGTTTTAGACCCCCAATGCAGTGTTTAAAACAGGTCGTGCCATCAGGAAGTTCTTCCTAATGTGTAGTCAACAGTATTTTTCGTGTAATTTGGACCCATTGCTTCAGATCCTACCATTCTTGAACAACATAAAAGAGATTTGCTCCATTATCTATGTGACAGCCCTTCAGATGTTCACTAAATACAGTAGTCTCTTCTTGTCATTAACATATCCACATAACATGGAAAACTTATGTTTTTGGACCACAGCTTCAAGAATTCCACTGCTAGCGTGGAAGCTGTAATAAAAAAAATACTTTAGTAGGCTTTGTATATGTCCAGCATCTTTCCTCTTAGGATGTGAGTCTAAATCCAATTGTTCATTTCAACAAGAGTAGACTCATTAAATCAGTGGTACTTACATAAGTGGTTAGTTACCAAGTTCTGCTAGAGTCAGGGTTTGATCACCCATGCCAAAAGAACCCCAATTATACAGATTTTGATGTGATTTAGATCGTTTCAAAATTTTCTGTTTACACAACACACGGCTAACATAGATTCATTTGCTACAACAATCAGTTTATTTCCTCCTTACCCATGAGATTGTTTTAAAATGTACCGACCATGTATCAATTGAATTCATTTAGAATGTGAATATCACTGTCAATTTATTTACTTTGTGAAGGGGTCAGGTATTTGGGTGCTGTGTATCTTTTTAAAAAAGTTTTTTAGAGGTATATTGATAAAGGTGCTGTGTATCTTTTTAAAAAAAGTTTTTTAGAGGTATATTGATAAATTGTTTGTCATAGCTGTAGCAGAAGTCACAAAAACAACAGGAATACATTGTTCGGGAGTAGACAGCTTCCCCACCACCCTTGTGGATGGGGAATAAGGGCTTGAACAGAGAAGGGGCCATTTCCGACTTGGGATTGTTTGTGGGGTCTGTGTGGAAGACAGCATTTGTCAGTATAAAGGTTTTTTTAAAAGATTTGAAAAAGGGCTTAGTAGGAACAGCATTGCCCCACAATCCTCATGGTAAAAGAATCAATTTAAAACACTTGCACAATGTAGTCTGCTAAAACAGTTCAAATTGCTGGAAACGAAACGCTTCTTTGCACAATAATGTGAACATACCCACCAATATATACACGATGTGACCGTATTTAAAAATGCATCAATTCTAACAAAGGGGTGAAAATAAAACATGTGTGACTGAGCCTTCAGTGGGTCTACTCTTGTTGAGACTAACAACAACTGGACGTAGGCCTTGGTCTCTAGGCCTCCTCCAGACACACTACTGTATACAGTAATTATAAAGTGCTGGAAGATGTTCCTGTGATGAAAAATTATTTGTGTACATAGTATCTCTAATGTGGCCTTAGTGTGGCCTTTTCAGCCACACTAAATGCTGTTCCAAGACCTCCATATAGAGCACGTTACCATCGTATCTTGGGACTGAAGACTGCCTACTAGCAGTAGTAGTATCTCTAATGTACTATGGCTAATATCTCTCTGTCTTCACTGTTTGCTTTCTTTTGGTACTGAAGAATGCCTACTACTAGTAGTAGTATCTCTAATGTACTATGTCTAATATCAGCGGATGTCTATGAAAAGATCTCTCTGTCTTCACTGTTTGCTTTCTTTTCTGGAGACAAGGCAATTGTGAATGTACAGGAGAGGTAGCTCCAGAGGAGATAAGGTTGCCTTCTCTTTCACTTTGGTTCATCTACAATGTACTACTGGTAAGAACCTTGCCTTCTGGCCATAAACCCATAAAAGGAAAAGAAGAAGGAAAAGACAGATACAAACACAACTGGTAAAACCAACAGGTATTTCGCTAGGGCACTGTTATGAATTTTTCCTTTGATGACAACATTGATATGCATAGTGTTTACATTCATTTATCATCAACATTGCACTGAAATGAGTAAACGAAGTAAATGTACTTTTAAAAAATGGCGCATAGCCTCTTGTTTCTGGTTGCAGATCCTCACATGAGCAATACTTTATATATCTGTCTCTCCAATAGTCAGCCCTACCACTGGGCAGAGTGAGGTAATTTCTTTAGGTGGTGATGGATGTTTAGCAGGTTGAAAATTGTTGCAGAACAGAGCTTTGTTTGTCTGAACCCCTAAACAGGTCTAGTGTGATGGAGGATGATGTCCTATCGGTAACACTCAAGTAATATTCACTTGGCTCAGCTTCTCATGTACATTCCCTATCACTCTCAACACCAGATGTACTGTATAGAAAGGGCTGCCCAGCTAAGACTCCCCATTAAAACAAAGGAATGTCAACTGCATTGGCTATTAGTCTAATGGTGTTCATTTGTTTGTTTGTTTCAAAAAGCTTATCTAGAACAATTCTCTCTCTTTCCAAATCCCACTCCAAACTAGTCCTGTATAGAGCCTGCAAGCAGTTTTCCTTCTTCTTCATTCCAACTAAAACTGGATATAAGGTGCAGGTTGTTGTTCCTTTCCTTCAGGAAAGGGACTACAGATTTACCTCCATGTACAGCCATTGAAGAGTAGAAAAGGGAAAAGTGATTGGCAATCCGTTTCTAAAAAGATGGAAGTTGGTGCATGGAGGTCAAAGTGAACATTATAACTAGCACGTCATTAGAGGATAAGGCTGAAAAACATCTTACTATCACAGCAAGTGGTTTTCACATCTCTTGTGGTTTGCTCATTGGCCTACTTTGTTCTATAATCGGTGACTGTTCATTGGGAGGTAAGCACCGACATTTTTTGCTAATATGGTAAGTCACAAGATCTGCCAGAATCACATTTCTAGAATGTGATCAAGTTCCCATTGCCCAGTGATATGCTCCTTGTAATATAGAATGTGAGCCTATGTTTACCTGGAACACATATTGTTTGCCCTGTGTGTCTTATCCTGAATCCCAGATATCTATATAGGCATTCTATCTTATACAATAGGAGTCTTGCTGGGTTGCTGCTAGATAGTACTCTTCACATGCCCAAAAGCACTCACATGTACTTGGTTAATTACATACATTCAGAACAAGTTTTGAGGCCCAGCTCTGATGTTCAGATAAAGCTCTTAATCCAAACCATGAATAATTCCTATTTTCCAGGTGTGTATGCAGATGGTCACCGCTTAGTAACTGCAGCCAGCTTCCCATGACATAACACGACTACTTGAAATATGGTGAGTAAAGCAATCATTTTGTTTTTATTGTGTGTCTCAAGTACTAGCCAAACTTCGTACACAACAGGGATGTGCTGAGTTCTTGCAACATTTCTGTGTGGCTCAAAATACAAAATGTGCATGTACTCCTTCTCCTTCTATGTTTTGTCAGAATTATATAGCATGCTATATGATATATAGCATGATATAGGATTACATGCTATATCAAATAATTCACTTTTTTCAGTGGATGACCTCCTCTGTGCGTGTGTGGGCTGTAGAAGGGTGGTATAGTGGTGTCAGGGCTTGTAGTGTCCAAGCACCAACACCTTCTGAGTATCAGGGATTGTGGTATCATCTGCCACCTCCACCTCAGCTTTCCTGTTATTTCTAATCCCAGCTATAGTCTTCATAATGGCTAGGAGCGAAAGAGATTTTCCCAAGAAAAATATATTGTTGCATTCTATCTCTCCTGTAACTCAAAGCACTGAGAGTGGCTTGATTTTGAATAGACAATTAAGAGTCATTACCTTTACAAAAGACCTGATCCTCATTTCTTGACATGGACTGATCCAGCTACCTGAGCTTTTGGATTTTCTTTATGGGGACTGGCTATGCAAACTGTAATGATGAACACCTCTGCTTCTAAATTTGCTACTACACCACTGCCACAGAGTGGTTCTGCATCCCAGCTAACAGTGAGCCAGCAGCACACATCTGGGAGGAGGAGAAGAACATTCAAAAACTTTCAGGTGTGCTTGAACCTGTGCATCCCTATTTTGGGGAATAAAATCCTTGCTTGTGAATTGGCAAATGCACTTAACTACAACCTGTCACTCTAAATTGCTTCTTAAAATTTGCACTTTGGATTTTGGAATTTCTCTTATGGCCAGTATGGTTGCTTCTGCTTTTTATGCGACTTCAAAAAATATCAAATTTTGCCATTCAGCAGTGAGACGCTACCTGTAAAGAAGAACTTTTTAGGCCACTTGAAACTGGGGCTTTATGGGTTAGTCCATTCCAACCACTATGTACAGCTACCTGTTTTAGCCTCTATTGAATGTCTTTCTCCAGTCCAACACTGAAAATAATTTCCAGCCTTATCAATATAAGAACTGCTTCATTACCTTCTGTCTTCTACCAGCAAAGGAGCCTGCAAGTTTCAAACAAGACGGAGATGAGGCTGAGTTTATCGAGCAGACATGGAGCCACATTTTCAAAAGGGAGAATCATGCTTTACTGCTTTTCCTGATACCATCTGATGAGCCCCACTGTTAAGTCTGTAGAGATGCTTTCTGTTCATTACTTCTCAGGACAATGTGCAAAACATGCATTCTACATGACTTAAAGACCATCACCACCCCACCAATTCCTTTTCCTCTCCCTGGCTGATATTTATGACAACAAGCCTCATGGAGAGATGTGAAGATCTCAAAAGTTTGCATACATATTTGTGCTTTCACATTGGCTTATAAAGGCATCAGCCCAGTTTAGATTTTGAAACGATAGACTAGTAAGTTATTTGAGCCAAGATAAACTGGAGATACAAATTGTTCATTATAAATACACACAGGGTTTTCATTACGAGACATTATTGGGCTTCTGCTCCTTTGCAGACTTCGGGCATGCCTGGAGGAAGACCCGGCAACTTCCTTTGAAAGGGTTCACTCCTAGACTGATATTGCAGGTCAACTCCCTAAGCAGCTGCAAAGTTGGAACTGGGTGGAGTTGCCACCTTTCTTTGGTGGGGCCTCTGTACATGATTACAGGACTATATGAAAGGCAAAACAGAGAAAGTATGGGGGGCAGAGGAGGAAGGCTTAACACACAGATGTGGGATGGAGGCTGGCGGCAGGAAAAGACTTAGAATCTGTAGCCTTAAGCAACTGTCTGCACAGGGTTTCATAGTAAGGCCAGACTTATTCCAGTGAGTCAAATGGAAATCCCATTTCTTTCAAAGGGATTCTAGAAAGGATAGCCAGATACAAAGGAAAAAGGACATGATTTTAGTAGATCTAGCTTGTTAGGAAAGTGTGACGGCAAGAGGAGAAGGGGACGACCGAGGATGAGATGGCTGGACAGTGTCTGCGAAGCTACCAACATGAATTTGACACAACTCCGGGAGGCAGTGGAAGATAGGAGGGCCTGGCGCACTCTGGTCCATGGGGTCACGAAGAGTCGGACACAACTAAACGACTAAACGAAACGAGCTTGTATGACAAGCTGTACCTGCTGAGATTCTTTCTTCTGCACAGCCATAAATGGGACAGGAGTCCTGTCCTTGTTTGCATAGGGTCCTCCTTGATTTTCCCAGGGCTAGTTCAAAATGAATCCTTCCATGCTTGCATTTTTCTATACACTGTATATGCATCCCAATACTGCACTGAGCAGACAGGGGGGGAAGAGTTTTCTAAAGCTACCTTCAGTTGTTGGTCTTAATTAGATTAGATTGAGATTTATGTAATTAATGGTCTTTAAATAAGTTTTCACAAGCAAGGATGTTGGCAAGTCCTTGGGTCTGAGTCCCAATTCTGAGTCCGAGTCTTTGGTATCAAGATCCGAGTCCCAAGTTCAAGTCCCTATTAAAAACAAGTGTTTTTCCCCAGGAAAAAAGGGAAGGATCTAGCTTGTTAGGAAAGTGTGACGGCAAGAGGAGAAGGGGACGACCGAGGATGAGATGGCTGGACAGTGTCTGCGAAGCTACCAACATGAATTTGACACAACTCCGGGAGGCAGTGGAAGATAGGAGGGCCTGGCGCACTCTGGTCCATGGGGTCACGAAGAGTCGGACACAACTAAACGACTAAACGAAACGAGCTTGTATGACAAGCTGTACCTGCTGAGATTCTTTCTTCTGCACAGCCATAAATGGGACAGGAGTCCTGTCCTTGTTTGCATAGGGTCCTCCTTGATTTTCCCAGGGCTGCGTTCAAAATGAATCCTTCCATGCTTGCATTTTTCTATACACTGTATATGCATCCCAATACTGCACTGAGCAGACAGGGGGGGAAGAGTTTTCTAAAGCTACCTTCAGTTGTTGGTCTTAATTAGATTAGATTGAGATTTATGTAATTAATGGTCTTTAAATAAGTTTTCACAAGCAAGGATGTTGGCAAGTCCTTGGGTCTGAGTCCCAATTCTGAGTCCGAGTCTTTGGTATCAAGATCCGAGTCCCAAGTTCAAGTCCCTATTAAAAACAAGTGTTTTTCCCCAGGAAAAAAGGGAAGAGTGGGTGGGTTGCGAGTTAAGTCTGAGTCATTGGGGAAAAAAATCAAGCCAAGTCTGAGTCGCCAGTGCGACGTAAGTCTGACTTGACACCAAATCCCATGACTGGAGCCCCCATCCTTGTTCACAAGTCTTAATGGGTCAAATCTAGTTGGGACTAACAACTGGATTTAGCCCAAGGGTGGCCAGCAAAGTATAGTTCCCCCACCAGATGTTGTTTGGAAAACAACTCCCAGCATTCCTCACCACTGTCTGTTTGGCTAGGATTGATGGGAGTTGCAGTCCAGCAACATCTGGAAGTCCTCATTTTACCTATCCCTAATTTAGCCCAACTATAGTTGCTGGGGTGGGTTCAAATCAGGTACAGTAGACTAAATCTACTGGCAAATTTCAACAAGATCCACTGAATAAATGAGACTTACAGGTCTCACTGATTCAGTTCTACATGTATTCATACTGAAGTTTTATTTTATTTATTTTATTTAATTTATATGCCGCCCACTCTACCCAAAGGTTGCAAATTGTAACACACACACACACACACACACACACACACACACACTTGGAATAAGTCCCACTACGATTACATTCTAAGAGTGTTAAGTTGTGTGCCAGCAAGTGTGTGGATCAAATCTCCCTTGAAGCAACAAACCTGATAGGAGATATTTGAGTATTCTATGGGGTCAAAGCCACTACACATTCCTCTTGAAATATAGGCACATAACAGTGAGGACCCACCTAATGGCATAGCTGTAAGTAAGCCTTTCTGAAATGGTATGAAGTGCTATGTGAAGTGCTGTGAAAACCTATAGCATTGCATAAGTGCTGATTTCTACTATTTGCAGTATTGCACTCTCAAAGCTTAGGGCAGCCTGAGACTTTTTTTAATGTTGCTTTGTGACTTGAAAACTTGCTTCAAACATACTCAGCAATAGCATATTAGCATCCATTCAGTACAATTAGATCACAGATGGGCACCTATACATCAGGGTATGCTCCCATAATCATGTATGGATAAATTATCACTATTTGTTAGCATTTTTGAAAAATCCCTGGATACAACCTTACAACTCTTCTCCAGTTTTCCTCTCCTGTCTTTAACTATATTCTTTATTATTTAAATTCAGGAGTATTCTTCGGCACATGGATGTTGCAGGTACTTGTCACATCCAATTCAGCTGTTATTTCTGCCATTATACATTTTATGTCCTTCCTCAAGCAGGCAACAAGACCTTTCTCTTTAGGCAATCTTTCCCTCAGTGACTGGCTGCGATTTTAAAATGGATTATTATGTCTTACTGCTTTGAATGAGTTTTTCATATTGCTTTGGTTTACCATTTCTCAGAATGGTATTTATTTGATCCTTTTTAGTATTTATATACTTACTGTTTTAGCTTTAAATATTGCCTTTTAATGATGTAACTCACCTTTATATAATTATTGTCTTCAGCTTTAAATATTGCTTTTTAAATATGTAAGCTGCCTTGCATACTTTTAAAGAAGAAAGGTGGAGCAAAATATTTTAAACAAATAATAAATAATAGCAAAAATAATAAAACAGAAAACATTTGGTTGAAAAAGTAGTCTGGATGTGGTCTAGTATTCTGGGCTTCCAGTCAAGAAATCAGCTTGGGAAAAATTGTTTTCAGTTCTATAAAAAATAACAACAAAAAAACCTCTTACTGTTATTTTCCAGATCATTTCTAGGAAACACAGACCAGAGATTATTAAGGATCCAATGTGTCAGAAGGCCTGGACAGGAAGAGTTTTGCTCTTAATTGGTGTAGCTACTGTAATGT